GATACACAATATTTTAAAAAGTGTCGTTTGTTTATACCTTTCAGTGCCACCTTCTGTGTATGTATCATTCTTTTCTGGTCAATTGTTTCGTCTACTGTCTTGAAGACTTTAGTCGATAAATTTCTTTGCAATATCATTCAAACTCATGTCTGGAGATTATACGCCCAATTAAATTATATTTACTGCGAAAAATTTTTATTCTCATTGTGTCCTGTTTTGATTTGAATATATCTATTTGTTGTTAATATGGATTAATCAGTTAGCTAGTTAGATAGAAGAAGTGTAAGGTACTAAAATCTTGCTAAATTAGCTAGAAAGTCGTTTTGGTGATCCATGTCTCAAAGTTTTGACGAAACGGAGTTTTACCACCAATAAGGTGTTAGTTTTTAACTGATTTCTTATTGAAGATGTTATGCCTAGTTAGCTAGTTAGATAGAAGAAGTGTAAGGTACTAAAATCTTCGACCTGGATAAGCATAGATAGACACATAAGAACTGTTCCAATATTTCTTCCGCGAGTGTTCAAGAACACGATTTGCAATAGTCAGTATTGCATACAATTTTTTTAGATATCGGTGTGTGAAGGTTTTTTCAAAGCTCAAAGCATTTTGGATCTATATAAATCAAAATATATGTATAAAATTTTTTTAGATTTTTGTTGAAGGTATTTGAAAATATTTGCTCCTGACCAGTTATAACCATAGAGGGAAGAAGATGATGACCATGCAAAGAAAGAGAGAGGCAGGTGATTGTGTTTCAGATCCAAGAATTTGTAAAGTATATCCGCACTGGGTCTTCAAATACGGTCAGCGTGGAAAATGCGTATTCGATATTCTTCTGATATTGAGACGTTTCATGTGATATTTTGTTCTTTTAGTCTTTAATGCATTTTAAAATATATATGTGTACAGATATGAATCTAAGTTAATATTAACTAAATAGTTATACTTATAGTTATGTGTATATGTTTGACCTTCTTATTTATCTTATTATCTCAGGCACACAATTGCTTCTTTCAAATATTTTATTAACACTTATTCTAAATATTTTATTAACACTTATTCTAAATATTTTATTTACACTTATTCTAAATATTTTAATAACACTTATTTTAGTTAGTTTATTAAAGCTTGTTTGTTGTTTCAAAATCTTTGTTCAAATTCATTTCAGATACTCTATTAAACAATATAAACCAATTTTATGACATTTTTCATTTTCTAAATTAGGTTACAAATTTTTATTTTTATGATTTATTGCTTTTTAACAAAATAAATTCTTTTGGCATTTATTTATACTAAATTTATTGTCAAGATTTTATTGAATATTTTGTGTGAGATATGCGCGACTTTATGACGTGCGAAAATCTTTGATAAACTATTAAAAAGCTAATTTACATCAACAAAATAAAGTGAACCAACATTTTTGTAGTTCCTCAAATTGATAAAACAAACGAACAAATGAACAAATGAACAAATGAAGAAAGATATCAAACTGAAAAATTTTTCATATAAATTACGAAAACATATTTACAATTAAAAAATAATAAAAAGAAATCAACTTTCCTTTTGCTTACAAATAAATTCACTTGGCAAGGCATTCGTAGACCAATGCTTCCATAAAAATTTAAAAAACTTTAACTTTAAGAAAAAAACCTTACATTTCCGTATTATTTCTCACGCTGTTCATGTTTTCAGTTTATTAAAATTAATATCAAAATATTTCGAAAAAAAAATCTAAATACATATATATAAAAACAATATGTATCTCATCTCGCATGCAATAATACCAAAAATAATGTAGGAAAAAATTCATATCATCAAATTCAAATTATTTATGGCCGTAAGTCATAAATCAGCAATTCGAAGTTTGCTGCTGGATTCAATTTGTATCTACAGCACCATAAAAACTAATTTCGAATATAGAAATAAGTTGTAATTTTTACTGTTACATCTGTTGTTAATATATTTCTTTTATTAATAAATAACTTTTTTTTTAACAAAACAAACCCTTCTATCGCAAGTTTACGTTGCAACTTTTTTGCCGCTACTTTGGTATGGTTTTGGTTTAAATGTAGTATTTTAAGTGTTTAATTATCCATTTTAACCCACTTAGTCACACTTCACTTCAGCTTAACATAAGTTATTAATTAACTCGAAACAAACAAATCTATTAAACACACGCTCTTTCCGACTTCCTTTCAGCAAATTGGATACAAAGTAAAATATGCATATCAATAAGCCATAGTGAAGTTTAATTCACAAATATACCATAGTTAGGCACAGTGTATCTTACAGATACTATATATTACGTTAGGTACAGTCAGGGTTAGAGCCGATTCAATATTTGTGAGACTTTTAAAATCAACGCGGAGCACAAAATAATTATTGTTCGTCTCATTTACTTTTAATGGACGTATCTAATCATTAATTGGATTTTTTTTAATTTATCAAGAAAGTAAATGAAAAACTATAATTAACTTTGAGAAAACGTAATTCATCCCTAGAGTCAATGTTAATACTTAACTTAGTTGGTAATATTTACCTTTTAAAAACTAATTATTTCTTTTTGTATTCAAAACAAATCTGACACTATTCCTTATAAGTCAAAACTTGAGTGATTTTTCAACTATACTTTGACAAAAAAAAACAATAAGTACTGCAAAACCATATAAGAGGTGTCTTTTATAATTTTCTGAAAAGAGTATGGTCTGGTCTGGTAAACAAAACAGTATATAACTCAGTTTGTACTCACCAAGTGAACAGAACTGGTCTAATAATCACAGAAAATATGAATAGCAACTTTCAAGAAATAAGGAATATAAAAAAAAGTCTACCTATAGGAAAAAGGCTTATGTTCATCTTTAAAATAAAAGACTTATAAAGAAAGTCTTATTTCTATTTTTATTTTATACAATTATCTATATAAACAACACCGACATTTAGAAGTTTATTCCGCTTCTTCCTCAAAGCGGATTATTATTACATTTCCTATTGGAAATATGTAAATCGGAATTTCTTTATAAATTTAGTATTAAATGTCAAGGAATCAACAATTAAAAAATAAATAATATGCAGCATAAAAACCAGAACCAATAAAGCTCATATAATCAGAATTACGTCTATTTTATAATATTTACTGCATCTTATTTATGAAATAATATATTATTTATTTTATTATTAATTGAATGGTATATGATTTATCATATACATTAATAAATGAAGAAAAAAAATTATTAGAGTGCATAAAGAAAAAAGCTTTCCGTACTTGATATTTTCAGCATATTCGACGAGGAACTAATGGATTGTCTTATGAAAAAGTAGTTCTAACACAGGTGCTCAAGGACTACCATATAGCTCAATATTCTTTCAATTCCTATATACTTATACAGTAGACCAATAATGTATCCAAGTTATATAGACTATAACTTTATTATATTCATGGTCGCTCCTATATTGTTATAATCTTAGAACATACAATATTACTTCCACATTTTTTTGGCTGATTTGTTTAATAATCACATATATATATGTATATATATATATACATAAGGTTTGAATCTTTGGCAAACCACGAAGAATTTTTAAGTGCGATGTTCTGAAGTTGACCAACATCCTCAAAAATAGTAAATCGGTACTACGTTGGACAATAACAAATCAAATGTAAGACATTTCATCGTACATTCCAAAATTGGTACACGAACAATTATAGTAAAAGGGAGATTTTAACTCATAGTTCCCTAATCGGTTGTGAGCCGTAAGCAAAGCTACCATAAGAGTAATATGTTATAAAGCATTCTCAATGAGAGTACTTGATGTTTTCTCAACAGAACGCGCCCAACTTGCATACATATGCCTACATAGTGTTGAGTCTTTCGATCTTTTATTAAAAGCACAGAATAAATTCGACAAATGTTAACTTGATGTTAACTAATTGCCCAGATTTTTAAGGTGTTCCTAATGATTATCTGAGGCACCCCGTTTGGCTAGCTCGCTTACCTTACAATTGTCGAAAATATCCCTATAAACGAAAAGTCAAAGTAGAAAAGTTTTAAACTGAATCGATATCTCGTTTTGAGATATGTGAGAATCAAAATCCGTCCTGGATGTAAACTGAACTGAAAAACCCGTCCTGTACTCAAACACTTTAGAACCGTTTGATTGACTGAGATATTTATATATATTAATTTATTTATATGTATTCTTATTAATATTACATATTATATATTTTATTGAGATTAAAATTACGTTTTAAAAATGAAGTGTCTTAATAAAGTGTGAAATGTTTATTAACTCCTTCTCTCTATTATTTCCATCAATTTAAGGTTAGAGTTGAAAATTCCAAACTGACTTAATGAGAGTTTCAAATTTCCAAAATTTTAGCTGCTTCTGATCTTTAATCCTAAAAATTGAATTAACTAAATTACTTCATTAAAATCATATAAAGTCTGAACAAAAACCAATTGCGAATTTTAAATCAAATTCAATCCAAGTATTCACTTTCAATTCACAATCATCGACACCTAACAAAAGCACAATTTATTATTAAATTTTCGAGCTTGATAATGGCGGTACGGGTGTGCGATGGCCCCAAGTTTACCGCTAGAAATGAAGCGGGAAGAATGTGGAAGGTGTTGGTAGTGTTTGGACACGTTCATATTGAACCAGAGCAAAATATAATTTAAAGTGAGTAATTTGAATAGCAAAGATAAAATTGCAAAAACCGAAACCATTGGTGCAAAGTGGCAACAACGTGACTTTGAGCCAAGACACCGACTGGCAGCTCAGCAGGTGCCTGAGTGGTGCAGCGGCAATTACGCTAATTTCAAGCAAGCAGCAAGCAGCAAACGGACAAACGGGCAATAGGCAACAGGCAACAAATAATAAGGAAAACGATTTTACTGTAGTAGAAATAATTTCGAAAAATTAAAAATAAAAAAAAATAAATTAAAATTACAAACAAAAACAAATGCTAAACATCGGTTAAAAGGTTTTCAATGAAACAATGAAAAAGTTCGGGATTGAGCAGAAATATTTAGCATCATTACCCGCAGCGCAGCGCAGCTCAGCGCAGCATTGTAGTTATGTTACAGTGGCAATTGCAGTAAATTGTATTAAATTAAAATTTATTTTACCTTAAGTTTTAGCTAAAGACACACATTTTTGTCTTAGTCTGCAAAATGAAATTTTCATAAATTTTTATTTGAGGTATTGCGTACCGCGTAATTGCAGCAAAGCTACCGGAAAGATTTACACATGTAGATTCGGTTAGACGACTTAATTGGTGGCTGCATGTGCTTAGACGCATGAAATAAACATAACAAATTTAATTTGAAATTATAAATTACGTTGCTAATAAGTACAAATTATAACCTTCAAGGTCTATATGGTCTAAGTGAGTTAAGTGAGCTAATTTAAGTTAAACTGTTTACTTGAAGATAAAGGTTAAAGCTTCAATTGCTGTCAATAAAAAAATAATTGCAGGAAATAAATGCAGGATAGATGGTTCAACAACTCAATTTTTATTGCCTTAATTTTGTTAATATTATTGCAAAAAAAAAAAGAAAAAAAATATATTTTACCTCGCACAATTGGGTCAGTGAGTTCAACTTTCTCAGCCCATTGAGAGATATTCACCACACTTACGCCATCATTTACCGACATTAGTTTAGCATCATTAACTTTTTGCACATTTCTTGCAGAGCTAACTTTAAATGTACACGACAATTATTATTAGTTATTATTATCATTGCATAAAATTTAAATAAACTTCCATAAAAAAAAAAAAACAAAAATATATATAAAAATATTAAATTTTAAAAATTTTTATTTAAGCTTTGACTTTTTAAAATTGTTCGTTACAGAAACACATAACCTGCCTCTTCGTAATTGCTTTGTGTCTTAGCAATGCTTGCGCTGACGATGATAGTTCGAAAGAAACGAATGAAGTCATACCGCGTGAGGCCATACAAAAATTGGACTACTCGGTGAGACAAGCTTTACTACGTGCCATAGATAAACTAGAAAAAGAAGCAGCAACAGAAGAAATCCTAGAAGAATCCACTACCACAATACCAACCCTGGTGACCAGCATTGCCAGCACTATTTCAACCAACACTACACAAGCCAATGAAGAAGTACTAGAGGAAAGCACAAATGCCTCTGATGTGGTACCAACTGTACAATTCTACACTGCAGTTTTAGACGAGAAAAATGCGCCAGAACAATTATTATCCTCTTTCATAGATAGTTCAAAAATTTTTAAACAAACTAATAAAAAAGGCATACAAAATTTAGGTTCACCAACAGTTGTTGCTGATCTAGAAGCCACAGCTGAAGATAGTCGGCAAGCAGCACGCAGCGTTGGCACTGCTTTGCGTTCAAATGAAATATCGAGCGATAAAAATGCTGAAGTTAAATTTGAAATACGTAAAACTAAAAATAATTCAATAACCTCAAGTACCACTACTACAACTACAACAACACTACCACGTACGACAAGGCGACGTCCTACTACTACGACTACGACAACGACAACTACCACCACACCACGTCCAACACACAATGAAGACGGTGAAAATATTGAATTGGTAGATAAGAACGATATACGCATACAGGAAGCGCCACTTGTCACGGCCTTTACTGTAGACTTAGACGAACGTGGCTCAGCTAAAAAAGTTATCCCAATCGTACATCCTATTCCCACACCAACAGCAGAGACCACATTACGCAGTGCTGATATATTTTCAGTTCACACTGGTCCAACAATATCTAAATTTAATGTTTTACCCGGGGGCCCACAAAGTGCTGCGTTAAGTTCAGCCCACAATTTGTTGTCAGCTCCATTGCCCACACAATCTACCCAAGTGACGACTGCAGCTAATATTTTACTCAACGCAATTCCAACATCAAGTTTTGAAGCTGTAAGTATTCATTCACTTATGTATATATCTAGCAATGTCAACTAAATTTTTGAACATCTTATCTTTAGCTCTTTTAACTTTTATATATTTTCTTCTCTTTCCTCTGCAAACTCTTTCCGTAAAACTTCCTTAATATACCATTTTTCTTGATCCAAAGTGTTCTTACCTTTTTCAGAGGCACAACTACAAATACGACTTATGTACGCATATGCAATAATTGGCATTAAATTAAAGAATATATTTTGAATAATCAAAATTATCAGACTTAAGACTTAGATTTAGACTCGGTCTCAATCGAACATACTATTAATAATTAAATTGAGCTGGTTTGAACTGGACAAAATACGTACCAGTCGGCTGCTTCAATTAAGGCGAAACCTGCTTATCACCAGTTAGTAATGACTTTTGTCATGGTTTTGGCTCTGCGGATGAATAGGAAACTGTGCTCCAACTCATCCGGCAGGGTTCATCTTGGGCTAGCAGAAGATCTAAAATCTGCAGGCCCCTTTTCTTACCGACCTAACAATATAGTTTTCCTGCAAAATTAGAGACAGAGAAGTTTATAGAATTGTCTGATTGGTTCATTTTTACCTAAATGGGGGAATCAGAACTTTCAGCATTGCTCGTACACTGACCTCTAGTCTGCGTATGAACAAACGCCAATCCGTGGTACTACAACGGGCAATTGTTTGAGCTCAAATAGCCTTTGTGCCACTTCAACCTAAACAAACCTAACACCAACATTATTTGACAGCTACACATATTTTGATAAGTCAGTACCGCTTATTTTGTTGTTTTAATTTAATTTTCAACTTTTCATTTGCCACTAAATATAATTAAATTTTATTAATCTAACAGAATACCTAAAGTATTAATAATTAATCTATTGTGTTATTCATTTTGTGAAAGAGCTACCCAAACTTACCAATCCAAAACGGCATAAGTTTTTATGCTTCTACGATCGTATGATGTACTAGATATTATTTTCATACTTTCCAATTCTTTTTCTAGAATCCATCAGCACAAACAGCAGTACAAAATCCAAATGAACCATCGAATTTTAACAATCTACTCATTGAGAAGCAACGCCAATTGGAATTGCAGATATACCAGCTTAAACTGCAAGCACAACAGCAGCAGGAACTCATCTATCGCCAGTTGAAATTATTAGAAGAACAATCAAAGTTCGGTGGAGCACCACGTCAAGCAGTCACCATCAACTCACAGCCAAGCAATATACAAAGTCAACAATTACCAATTCCTTCAATACAAACACTGCCACTGCAACAAGAGCAGCCCACACAACAACCATCCTTCACCATAAGTCCATCTGTGGAGTTTTTAGCAAGTTCACAAACCAAAACAATACCATTGCATCAAACTTATCCACTTGAGCAACAATTGCCACTGCATGATGTTGCCAATAAATTCAGTAATGTATTACCAAGAGGAAACAGCAACAACAACAACAACAACAACAACAATCTCAACAATAATAACAATCTAACGCCCAATACTTTCCTTACACAACAACAACTACCGATAAACGATCCAATACAACATGTTTTTCAAAATTTACAAAAAACACTTTTTAATCAAAATCAACCAAATTCACCAAATTCACTAAATTCACACAATTCGTTCGAAGCAAGCAATTTAATAAATTCACCAAAATCACTCAATTCACCACTCCATTCATTTAATTCACCTAATGCACTGCACACACCTACCAATTCACTTAATTCCATCAATTCTGTTAATTCTGTTAGTTCTGTACAAATTCAACCATCAAATCAGTTTAGCTTTGCACCCACATTCAGCACATTATCAGCACAACAGTCGCAGCAGCCGCAACCGCAGCAACCATTGGAACTAAATGCCTTCCAAGTGCCACCTCAACATAGTTTCCAAATATTTCAACCATCACAAGTTCTACCAAATTATGTTACCAATGCTATACAAAAAACTCAGCAGCAGCAACAACAACAACAACAGTCACAACAACAACAACAACAACAAGACAATCGTTCACGTTTCTTCCGTCAAGAAGAAGGCACGGGTAATTTTGGTCTAAACCAAGTACAAATACAAAAAAGTAATTCATTTGCTGCAGTATTGCCAACAGCGTTGCACAACCAACAGCAACAATTGTTGCAACAAAATATAGCAAATCAAAATTTCTATAGGCAACATTTGGAGCCACACTTAAGCAATCAATTGCAACAAAACGCACAACAATTCTATCAGCAACAACAACAGCAGCAGCAGCAGCAGAAATCCCCCACAGGTAATAATTTTAGTTTAAACAAATTCCGTCATAGTCCATTAAGTAATAGAAATAATTTTGAAGAATTTAGAATAATAAGTAAAATTCTAGCACTTAACCATGGCATTAAAAACTTTTCAGCACAAAATCTACATTTCAATGGCGGATTCTGAGTATTTTCTACCGTCCTAATCTGTCGCATAGCATTTTTACTCCACTTCCAATTCTTTGTACAAATAAAAATATAAAAAATAAAAACAAATAATTAAATATAGAAACTAAGCGCACTAACAGAGCCAGCTCGTCTGCAACTTGTGTGGAACGCATTTTGGCGCCAATGTGGGACTGAAAATAAACGCACTACAACTTTTTTCTGTTATTCACCAAAATTATTCAGCAAAGAGCACTTTTGATGTATTCTCACCAAATTCACCAAAACGAGTGTCTGGTCTTACATATCGTACGTACACTTGCAAATTGACAGCACACTTTTTTACACACACCGTTAAGCACTATTGGCACTGCACTGCAAAATATTTCAAAATTTTTTTAAAATTAGTTTAAAAATAATTTAATTTTAAATTAGTTTAATTTTATAAATTGAAAAAAATATATAATTATTTTCTGCTAAAAATGTATTTTTTCATTGAACTATTCTACTTATGCAAATATTTTTATTGTTCACATTTCTTTTTTGTTTTTGTATATATATAATAACAAAATAATTTTAAGAAAATGTATGAAATTGTTATATAAATATTTTTAATAATGCAATTAATGTCTTAATAATAATTTATTTTATACGATAATATAAATAAAATATGTTAAAAAAATTATATTATATAAAATGTAGTTTGACTTAAATTCGAAAGCAAAACAGTTTTTATTTAAGTGAAGTTCTGTGTGCTAAGGGGGTTATATAGTTTAAACGATAATATATACAAAATTTGTAAAAAAAATACATTTTAATATAGTGTATCATTATCAAAAATTAGGTCTTCTTTGGATTTAATAGTAAAAATATTTTAAATCAAATAAAACTTTAAGCCGATAAAACTCCTCATTATTGGACTTTAGAAACATCTACTGCTGCAATTGCCTGTATATAATTTTTGAACTGTAAGTATCAGGAATTGAACCCTGTCAAATTTGAACAGTAGACTAAGGTAACCAGATTTTTAGATGGGCAAAGCGGGACAACTCATATATAATAAAAATAATATCGTAATATTTTTTTATTTTTAACATAAGTATAATTTATAAATATAAAAAAATGTGTAATTTTACTCCTCGACATACTTTTTATTTGAGTTAATTTGTTTCAGTAGATTGTTGTCGTTTTTTTAAATATTGTGAAAATCTTCACAAGAATTTGTTAAATTATATTTGAGGCTCAGAGGCAGTGTACTTTAACTAACTGACCCAAAGCCGTACTTAAAAATAAAATATGTTAAAAAAGTATATTATAAAAAGAGAGATTTTATTTGAAGTCGTTAGCAAAAAAGTTCTCAACGAAATGAAATCTTATGCTGACCATAGGTGTTACGGGTATTGTCAAATCCTTTATCATTTGTTCTTGGAAACATCTACTGCTTTAATATTTGATATATAATTTTTACGACAGTAAGAGTTAAAAATTGAGTCCTGTCAAATTTGTTCAATAGACCCCCAAGCGAATTCAATTGATTAAAAATTGAAAAAAATTTTGGATATGCAAATTTTCTGTTACTCACTTTTCTATTTCCAATGGATTTCTTGTCACAGAACTCAAAATAATAAAGCAATAATATTTGCGAGTATTAACTAACAAAGAATGAGTAATACATTTTTTAACAACAGTGAATATTTTTTCTTTTATTTAGTAATTATCGTCTATTCACTTTACTCACTTTACTTCATAGAATATCTATGCGACATCGGCAATAAGGGCATTAATAATTAATAAGATACAATCATTGGCGGTTAGAGAACTATCTCATTAGAGATAGTTGTATCTCTAATTAAAATTCATAGAGTCAAGCATTTACCAGCTTTCAATTTTTATGGTACCTCAGCAGATTCACTTCTAAGGTTCTGCTCTGATTAATGTTATCTAAACAAATAAAAATCCTATCTTAAAATTTGTAGAGTCAACTCTAGTGCTTTAAAACTTTTCGGTTATATCGCCAAAAATTTTAATTCTTAGTATCCGAGTCCGTCTTCACTGGGATAGTTATTACTACAATCTACCTCTTTACCAATCTTTAAAAATATTGTGTAAAAATCTTTCATGGGTGCCAATCCATTCATTTCAGTTCAAATGTTAGCCCTATATATATATATTAAAGTGCAACTTTATTGACCAATTAAATAAATTTGCATACTTTTAAGCTTTCTTTAATAATTGTATAAACTGAATAATATTACCAAGAAAAACTAACGTCAACATGACTCGGTAAAGCAGTATGTGAAAATTACTGTAAACAGCAAAGATCGTAACATTACGGTCTTTAATTTAAACGTCTTTATATTACGGTCTGGGTTTCAGTAACGTTTGTTAGTCTATTTAGCCATATTTTAGCTACTTTTATGTCATCCTTACTTAAATCTGGACCTGCGCAAGATTATGTTTCCTTATCTATAAAATATCCGCTTTGCAACAAGTATAAAAAATTGGCACTCTAACTAGTTTATCTGTGGGCGATCCAGCCCACTATGCTTAGTTCATGTCTAGAATATCAAACAATACATGATAAAATTAAAACAGGCACAATTTAATTTTGTGAAGGATAATCAAAACTATATTCAAAGTATTGATTTATGAAGATTTACATTAAAAGAATTAAATAAGGAGAAGAATAAAGCATTTAATAAGTGAATAAAATTCAATACTGCGAAATCCATTATTATTGAATATAATTTTTTTAGTAGTAAAAGACTTCGTTTTAATGTTTTTGATTTTGTTTATTGCACAATTACAATATACATTTTTAAACTGTTTTACATTATTTTATAAAAAAAGAAACTAAAAATTTGAGTAATTTTTTTTGGAGGGGGATGGGATATGAAAATTTATATCAAATTTTTCATTTTTCACACACACAATTTCATTATCAATTTATGGAACAGTTTTCAAAATAAAAGAAACAAAGCATTCCAATTACGCATAAATTACACTACAAAATCTCTTAAATAATAATTTTACTACCAATATTTATACAGAAGATTTGTTTAATTTAACTTCAACAAAACTTACAACAAATTGTTGTACAAGAAAAACAGTATTTTCCGTTTCATACATTTTGCAGTGATTTTTACATAACTATTTTTAATATTAATTACCGTAAAACTAATATAACAAATTTTAAAATTAATAATTAAGAACTAAAATTAAAAATAAAATTGTTAAAATTATAAATAGTTATTTATATTGTTAAATATATAATATATAAGCTATTACAATATAAGTATATGTAACTGCTAATTAAATTTCTTTTATTTTACATAAATAATAAAATATTCATGAATTGTTTTATTTAATTTATTTTTAAATATTAAAAATTTTTTATATAAATAATTTTTTTTTACAAAACATTTATTACAATATGTTTTTCATATTATATATCAGTATTATAATATAATCGAGCTCAACAAAAACGCAAGCTTAATAAAAGTATTTTTTAAAAAATATAATAAAAATAAGAGTTTAGATTCACCCATTGAAATGGTTAGTTTAAAAAAAATATATAATCAGTTTATATTTAAATATAATAATAATAAAAATAATAAACAATTAAAAAGGAAATTATTTTGCTTTTAGTAAAATTTTAGCAAATTTTACATGCATCAAAAATAAGTTCATTATAATATTTTCACTAATTTAGTTTTATTATCTTAATTATGAAGTTAGTTTTTATATTCATTTATATATGTATATATGGATTTAATAATCAACAAACAGTATAGCTGTTATAGTCTTAGGAATACAGTTAACATATGATTGGATTAGTATATAAATTTACATATGCACAGTTGGTGTTTTCGGTTTATAATTTAGGGGAATCAATGGATATAATGCAGAGGTTTAAGCTTAACAATAAGAATGGCTCCCATTCTTAAAATTAAATATAAATTAAAAATTCTTATACAATTCTTATTCAAATATGAATAAATTTACATTCTCTATACAATTTCATAACAACTACTTAAAATTTAAAAATTTTTTTCTTTTTCTATTAAATTTTATAGGCACGAAATTTGTTTCATCAGTTATAATAATTAAATTACAAATTATTTTATACAATTAAATTCTTTAAATTTTCTTAAATACGTTTATAAATTAAATAAATTACAATAATATACAAGTGTAATTAAAATTACTAATATCTTGCTGCCCTACCAATTAAACAGTAATCTAAGTTAAACCTCTACTCCATAGGTAGGGTCAACAACATAAGTGTAACGATGGCCATCTTTTGGCGTTTCTGTTGGGTTCACATCATCGTTTTCATTGTTAGTTGTGTTATTTGTTAATGTTTTCTCTAATGTTGGAACAGTTGCTGTTATTGTGGGTGTCGCTTGAGTCGCTTGAGTTGGTGCTGTTGTAACATTTGTGCTCATCGATATGGCGTTACATTTGTACGCTGGTATTTCTCTACGACCGCCTGAATGATTATCGCTGAGATTCTTATTCCTATTGCTGCTAGCAACAAGAGCTGTATTTATAGCAATGGCTGTTTCTGCGGCATTATCTTCATCATCATCTTCTTCTTCTTCCTCCTCCTCCTCTATTGAATCAGCTTCAGGTATTAAAAAATCAAGTGGAAGCTCAGGTACTGAAAGTCCTTTGCGTGTAAAGAATGATATTTTTTCTCTGAAAAAAAGGAAATAATTCAGTTAGAATTATATATTTAAAAAGAAAAATTTGTTTATTTTAATATATTTATAATATATATTAATATGTTTTATATTTAATAAAACATTTTAGATTTAAAAACTGAAGTATAATGTCTCTGAAGAAACAACTACCCAACTGTACAATACTGAGCCGATATAGGACCAATATTTTTTTTCGGTTCGGATCTGATTTTCGCTCCGGCAAATATATCGGTTCAGGGCCATTTATTAAAGTTCTAAAACCGAATAGGAATTCCTTAAAGTAAGTAATTATCGAACTTAACAATACTGATTTAATACACCGTTTGAGTTTGATTTTACGTCGGCAATTAATTACATTTAATGTTTAAAAAAATGTTAGAAAACTAATGTCCTATGCTCCAAAGGCCCTGTGCTCGACTAAGAAGGACAGCAGTAAGTTAGTGAGTAAGAAAACTAATAATTATGTGAGGAAAGATATTTATAATCTTCCAGTGTAAAATCAATCTACTCAAGAAATTAATTAATGAATATACATTTCCTATTTTTACTTACTTGAATGATACTAAATCCGGACAACCTTTAGGCACTTTTGTTTTACGCAGCTTATAAATTTCTTTGGTTGTTTTGATTAGTAGTTTTTGTAATTGCTTTTCTTCAGGACACTTAGAAGGATCCGCACGTTCAACTAAACGTTGGAATTCCTCATTTTCCATCGCCCAAGAGGCAATCAAAGGATCCATATTATCGCGCGCTTTTTCTAAACTATAATAATAAATTGAAAAAATAAGAATGCTTTCAGCGACTGAAATGCTAAATGAATATTTACGTTTCTTTCAAGTTTTGCAGCTTGGATATTTCATCATTAAGATAATAAAGCTTACTATGCTGCGCCTGTAAGTCCAACTCCAAATCTAAACTTGTTCTAGGTATATGAGTATGATGTAGTTCTACATAAAAACAAAAAACAAACTCCATTAATATTATTTTCTTAATTTGTTTACATCATTTCAATACATACTTGTCACTGATTTTGGTGCTTTGGGATGTATGCGTAATGAACGACGCTCAATGGCACCACGATGGAAAGGATGCGGTGTCACACCGAAATGCATGGCAGAATCGGAATCACTGCGATTTAAACGGCATATATAACGATTTTTACCCACAGCAGCTGAAGGTGTGAAGGTTTGCGAACGTTTCACAGGCCTATCATCTGACATCTGTTGTTGTTGGCTGGAACGAGATTTTTCTGGCGGAAAAGCACATTCTGTATTTGTTTGTTTGTCAGCATATTCTTGTTTCATCAAATAAGCAGCCACGAAAGCTAAACAAAAATAATAAAAAATTGAAGAAAACATTACTTTTCTAGTTAAATCAAATTATTTCATTTAAAATGCTTACCATCTGTAGAACCACCAACGGCTCCTTCCAATTCCTCCTCCTCTTCCTCTTCTTCATCATCATCATCGTCATCATCATCATCATCTTCATCTTCACCATTTAAGTTTTCTGTTACTTCTTCAGTAATTTGTTCTTGTAATTCGAA